ATAAACTACATTGTTGATTTCCCAATTTATTTTTTTGTGCATCAATCACTGGGTACCAGAGGATCTAACATACAAGTCACAATTAAAATGATTCAAGGGGAACTTTGTTAGTACGTGTTTGACAGAATCAAGTTAATAAGTAATAATATAAAAGTGTTCTACTGTATTTTTAGATAGTTGTGTTTGTGTCTTCTGTCCAGACTCCATATTTCACCCGTATCCAGCCGTCTCAAGGACCCATTTCAGGCGGCACGCGGGTCACCATCGAGGGAAGCTACCTGAACGCTGGCAGCTACGTGTCCGTCAGCATCGGACCGCAGCCCTGCTACTTCAAGAAGTAAGAAAAATCTGCTTTTTTTTTGTTTGTTCGCATTATTGTGTCTAAATTGAATTAAAAAATGACCCCTCGAGGGGAAACTGGAGCTTCACACAGAAGAGGATTTAGATAAGCAAAAGACTAAGATGGTAAAACACGTCTATAATTACGACTGAAGGTGCTGCAGATGATGCAGGAAACACGAATATGTAAAGAAAATGTGCGCTTAAATCAGGATTTGCCGTTTGAAGATTTGTTCACATGTGTAAAAAAATAAAAACATCATTATCATAAAGATATTACATGCACATGTAAGCATGTAATCAGTGTGTCAGGTTGTTTTGTGTGTGTGTGTGTGTGTGTGGGATCATGACTGTTTGTATTAGGTGTGTGTGTGTGCTTGTTGCTTGCAGACACACAGCATCTCTTTGTCTGCACTCGCGCAGGCTTTCCCTAATCTAGTGCATGGAGAGGGAAAAAAAAAAAAAATCCAAACTATCACCACAGTTGCTTGCATGTCAAATGCTGGGATTAGCCTCTCGCGGCTAATCTCCATTGAAGCCGTCGTACGCTGGCTTTGATGTCACAGCAGTCGTGTGTGCGCCGCAGTAATCCCGCAAACTCCACTTCAACCACAACTGCCTCGCTCACCTCAACTCTGTCTTTATCTGTCACACCCTAACTGTGGGACTGTGTGTTTGTGGCATCTTGTGAAGATTGCTGAGGCATGGGCTCTTTCTGAATGGGGTTGCTATGGTTACAGGCCGAGGGACTTGGGCGGGTGGATGTTGTAGATTCTCTGTCCTTTTTTTTTTCTTTTTTTTTTTGTGCTTTCTCTCACACTTTCTGTGTGTGTGTGTCGTGGCCATGGTATATAGACACACACACACACACACACACACACACACACACACACACACACACCCCTATACACTCCCACACATGCATACGTCGCTCCTGTGAAGTCATGGCCCAGAAAAGCAGCCACCACTCAACTGTGCTAAATACATATTAGATAATGTAGCTACTGGGGACTGCACTCAAGACTTGCAATTCAAAATGTTACTTTGCCCGTGGGACCATTGACACACACACACACACACACACTGTCCCCATCCCTCCCCCACTGTTTGTGACTGGTGGCACTGATCCTTACGAGTACACCGATAATAGTAGGTATAAACTTCATTAAATATGACTTTAATTCCTTGTTTATGTGTTTGCATCCCTCTCCTCTTCTGTGCCATTTCACTCTTATCTAAAAAAAAAAAAAAAGAAAGTGAAACATTCCCACTTTGCAGCTTCATTTCTAGTTTATTGCTTTTGTTGGATTTTTTTAAAAAAGATTTTCCCTGGATGAGTATCTAGTCAGTTCTTCCATGTAGACCGCCACATTAGCATGATATCTCAGGCTGGATGTCTAATCTGGACAAGGACAAATGCATGTTAATACAAGGTGTACATATGGGCTTGGCCTCAGCATCAGATTGTAAGTGTAAATGCATTCAGCACGGCAGCATCACATTTGTGAGAAGAAAAATCAATCCGCACATCAGGGTGAAAGGTCTTTTTTTTTCTGTAAAAACTTATTTAAAAATGAATGAGGCCTATCCACGGTGGCGCTCGGGACATGTTTGTTTACAACGTCACCGTCGTCCCTTAATAATTCACATGTGATCACAATGCAGGAGAAAAAATAAAGAGAAGATGTTGATTTTAAATGCAAACACTTGTGCACCAGATATCTAGATGGTGTATCCAGAGGTAGAAGTTGCGTTAATAGCAAAAATTGTAAATGGCGGCGACGGACATGTGGCGAAAAGTAGAGCTGGACAATTAAGCATCTGTAAATTATAATCTAATATTAAATGATGTGCTGCTTATGCTTTATGCAGCACAGTGATTTTATAAATTCATCCTCCTTGTGTGACAGTTAGCGTCATCAAATCATCTATCAAACATCGATGTGACAAAACATACATGTTCCAAATGCAATATCTGTCAGAGTAGATGTTTTCCCACAGTTTCTCCAATCAGAAGCTTCAGCTGCGACTAGCCAACGTGGATTCCTGCAGCTGAGGTCGACCACAGCGTTTTACTTGCTTCATTGGCTGAGGCGCCTGAGTCGCAGGTGGAATTATATAATCAGAGAGGCAGGTTACAATATGATTTAAAGAGCACCAGATTAATTAGTTTCACAAGACAGACGTTGGTAATTACAAGAACAAGTCATTTAAAATGTTAATGCTTGAGGTTGGACCTCAGTATTAAAGGAATCACCTGGCACCGGAAAAGTAATCATCGCCTCTTTATTATTCTAATTCTGTTTTCAGACCCTGCTAGACGCCTTTTTTTTTTTTTTTTTACTCCGGTGTTGTTGCGAACCTCTCTTTTATTAGTTTTCTTTTCTCCGTTAGCGTGAATAGTTTCTGTCTCCAAACTAATTTATTTCCACTTTTATTCTCTCTTGTGTCTCGTATGTATTCTTACCCAAGGAGAACCTTTTATTTATTACAAATTCCTGTGAGAAAGCGGAGCCTTTATAAGCGAGTATCAGCTCCAAACCAGTTCTTTCGTATAGATTCTTCAATGCCTGGTGCTAAAACATGAACGTTTCCTCTCCGTCTAGGAGGAACGCCCGGGAGATCGTGTGCGTTACGCCGGCTGGACTGGCACCAGGCAGCACGTCGGTCTTGGTGGACATCGACGACGCCGAGCTCAGAAACCCCGAAGTCAAGTTTAACTACACCGAAGACCCCACCGTCCTGAGGATCGAGCCTGACTGGAGCATTGCCAGGTGAGCCGCCGTTCTGCGTGATCACCTACTTAGCTTGCTTTTATTCTCGTCCGTTTAGCTTCACATAGCCCTCCTTGGAGAAGGACTATTTGACTAGCTGCAGCAACAAACGTTCCTAAAATACATCCAAGGCAGCGTTGGAGGGTTCCTGCAGGGGCATCAATAAAAGCGCTGAAAAAAAAATGTTGTTTCCTACTTGAATTCCATCCAGCAGGAACCCTGGCTGAGTGCAGGTTGGATATTCCCTCAAGCTAGTGGCTTATGGAAATCAGAATTTGGACCTTGGCTTTTTTACACTCCTGCTTGTAATGCAGGAGCATTAGCAGGGGCAAATATTGAGGAATCATTCTTGAAGCAATCTGAGAAGACTTAAATGCTGGACGAGAGCTCTGACAGCCTCCAGAGGTTTTTCATTTGGCTCAAGCAAGACGTTTATAGTCGAGCAAATCAGCAGCAGCAGCAGCTCGATTCATCCCAAAAGAAAGTATGTCAGATTATCTAGCCCACTAATTGTTTGAACGCGATCTGTGATTGAGGAGGCGGCTAATGCCGATCAGCGAGTGGTGCGTGAGACTTAAAGTTCTGAACCGATGCAGCTGTTGATGCTCGCGGCCTGTCATGCGGTTCTGTATATCAGCGGCTAAATAAATAAAGATCCTCCGCTGCTCAGCATTGAACATGACAGCGGCATCGCAGAGGAGGACACACACAAGCAAAGGGTTTCACATTAAAGTGGATTTACTGTCGGGGAGGCCAGACACACGCTCGTATTGGTCTTCATGATGGATACTTCCAACAGCTTGGCCCTTACCTCGGTGATATTTCTGGAACCCTCTGTCTCTCCTGGGGGGTTTTGGTTGCCGTTACTTCGACTAATTAGTGATTTTAATTCTATGTGGGGAGCAAACAGCAGCTGATTAATGTCACCTGTTGGTCCTCGTATAATTCAGGTCCTGTCTGGAGGCCGCGTGCCCACGTGGCGATGAGGGTCAATATTTTCAGGCGGAATATTTTTGTCGGTTAATCACCTCCTGTGATTTGGCAAGAGGTTAAAATTCATCCAGATTGATGAGTTTAGCTACACAGGAGCAAGGCAATTACAGTAAATGTGCTACCCGCCTGCCAAGCAAACCTATAGCCCAGATCACATTCCTTCCTGTACAGTCAATCAGCATTTTGTCGCTTCATTTATTCGGAAATTTCCAAACAAGGCGGGCTTGTTTCCTCTCACCTTGCCTCCTTCTCTGTGTTCCTTCCTTCCCCGTTGCTACTCATCAGCAGATTGCAGGAGATGGATGCAGAGCTTGTTAGAGGAAAGTGTTGATGAATGCTGCCCGGTTGCCTTTGCCCAGTAGGTCTGGCCAAGAAAGCAGCTGAGGCCCAATCACTGCCCTGCCCACCTACTGTCAGGGTGTCTGTGTGTGACGCTTAAAGCCGGGGTTCTACTTCGCAAAGCTCACTCAGGGGTGATGATCCCACATAAAAAAAAAAAAAAAAAACGAGGCATGCATTCACACATACACACAAACAACCCCGCTGATTCCCAGAGTCCCTGATGTTTGGCCCCAGATCCCTCCTCCATCTGGCTCAGTAAACCACAAAACAACTCCTCCACAAACACCAACCGGACTGCGACGGACAAGGTCTGTGTGTCGCTTTCCAGCCAGTGGGAGCTTTAATTTCGCTGATGCATTTCAGCCACCGCTCCGTGTCGCAGGCTGGTTTCAGGTAGAAAAAAAGTATAACGAAGCGGCGAGATGTGATATTATATTGGTTCGTATCTGCCTTTATTGTCTGCCTTGGCGCGAACACATGCGAGCCTGCAGAGCATTATCGCCGGGAGACGACAGCGAGAAAGAAAAGAGAGAGGGGAAAAAAAAAAGGGGCGGGGTTGGGGAGAGGGTGCATTATCATTGTGCTTCGCTGATGATATTCCATTTAGGAAGAAGACAGAGCACTTCAAAAATAAATCAATGACGAGGAGTCATCTGGGATGCCGAGGGAAGATATTTGGGCGTCAGTAGAGGTTAGAGAAGCAATTTTGGAACAAAATATTCAAATCTTCTCCCAAACAGACTGTGTAAATACAGCAGATGGATATGAGGCTCGCCGCTCCTTTAGCAAATACTGCCAAGGTGCCCTTAAGCAAAGCACTGAGCAGGACTACCACTGCAGTGCAGCTGCTTAATGGCGACCATTAGAAAATTGGTCGCGCTGGGCGGCTGCCAAAGTCTAAATAAAGGTGTTCGGGCAACAGGCGGGCATTTCCCACAACATCCACAACATGTGCAAATGGACCGAACAAAACGACGTGTTTAGTTACGAGCGTAAAGGCGGCACCAGGAGCAGGGCTGGGCCACCAAGCTTTGTGTTTGGCTAAATCGGTTATTGCGCGCCAACCCAAACGGCACTATTTCCAATACTCCATCACAGCCGTGAGTTTGGAAAGTCTAGAAGAGCCGCATGGTTACATTATTTTATCCCGTTTGAGTGTGCGGGGAGCGAGCAGGAAATCTCAGATGCTCAAGCACTCAATTTGCCTTCCACGGAGGACTGGAAAGTGCGTGCTCTACGGAGCAAGAAATGCGTGAGAAAGCCCTCTGAGCCTTTTTATTTTTTTTTTTTTCTCGCCTTGTGCACTCAGTGAGAAACTGAATATGCGCTAGTTCTGAATGCAGAATTCAGTTCTCCTGCTTTGCCATTCACACATGATCCACACACGTCTGCAAAACAGCCAGAGTACACAGTTTATTTATTCAGAAAGCCCGTCTGCCGACTACTCTTTCCCTGACTGGCTTTTCTGTGGAGGAGTGTAAAGTAGAAGTGGATGATGCAACACACTTAATAAACTATGATAGATTCCTTCATTTTGGCCTCAGCGACTCTCCATTAGCACCGTCGGGAAGCTTTGCTGTTGGAGTTGAAGTTCACCAGCGTCCAAAACGAAGCGACAGACTATTCTGCCGCCACAAATAAATGCAAAATTTGCTGCGATTTCACTGAAATGAAATAGTTTTGCCCACAAAGTTAGCATCTTTACGCCGTGGTGCGACTCAGCCTAAAGGTTTAAGTAAAGTTTGCTTGATATGTAAAATATTTCACAGTCAGTCAGACCAAAGACAGCGTGGGAAAGCAGGGACAGAGGGCAGAGGTGGCAAGAAACAAAGAAGGAGAGAAACACTAACAACAGATTTGCCCAGCTATCCCTGGGAGTTTATTCTGATTGTCTTGTTGTCTGTTCCCTGAAGCATGTACCTGAGCTAAAGAGACTCACTTAGACAAAGAGAAGGAGCAACAGGGACAGAGGGACTCAGTACAAATATACATCAAGCCGAGGAGAAGAGGGGAGGAGGAGGCAGAGGACAGCTAGAAAAAAAAAAGAAAAAAAGTGTTTGCTTCTGTGATGATTTGTGGCGACGACGTAAACATCTAATTAAAAATCAGTTTGTCTGGATGTGATCTCAGCTGCTTTGTTAATCAGCGGTCCCTCTCGTAACGACCGCGGTAATGCAAGCTTCCTTTTGTTAGCATTTCATGTTGTTAAGTACAGTTTACGCAACATATAGACACTGAAGCACTACTTATGCAGCAATATTATTCTAGGGGGCAGAATTATAGAAAATATAAAAAGATCAGCCACAGCACTGAAACCTGTAGATCCTCTTCTGCATAAGCCACTGACCTCTGATATCAGGTGCAAAGAGGTTAGCAGCAGATCCTTTGAGTCCTGGAAGTAGTAAGACTCCTTTTTCCAGCTTGTCTCACAGATGCTGCCATGATGCAAGACTGCTGTCATGAAGCAGTGTTTAAGTACATGTCAAAGTAACATCCACGTGAACGCAGTGCATTCTGCTGGAATCTCGTCCTCACATGGTCCATCAGACTTGGCCACCTTTTTTTCCCATTGCACCAAGGTTCTCCTGTTTCCTGACCAACTGGAAGTCTTGGCTCTTAAGTAGAAGTGGATGGTGCAGCACACTTCATAAACTAGTAAAGATTCCTTCGTTTTGGACTCCCCTGCCACCAGTTCACCAATCCTCCTTCCTTGCGTCAGTTTCGTAGACATGAACCAATGTTTAACTTTAGCACCCCACAAGACCTACCATCTTGGAGATGCTCTGACCCAACAACAAG